GAAGTTGCAAATTTTTTGAATGTCTGGTTTGTAGTCGCAAATTCACCAATATAGAATCATTTAGATCCCATTTGAGAAAACATTTATGTGTTGAACTTAGAGAAAGATCAGATGAACATCAGCCTGTAGTTAGTCAAGAACTAGATATTCATCATATTTCAAACGAATATTTACAAGAATACTCAGAGCCTGTGGATAATGAAGATTTTGAATCTAGCACTTTATTGTCTCTAAAAATAGAACAGATTCGAATGGAATTTCTGAAAGTATTTATTAAAATATACAGTCATAAGACAATTTCACGGAATTCAGCAATAACAAATTCTAAGCAAATAGTGCTGTTTTACAAAAAATACCTTCAGAAAATTCATTTGCAGTTACAGCTTTCAAAATGGGACGACAATGAAAAGAAAACGGAATTAATTTTATCTGTGTGTAATTTAATACAAGCAAGCCAACTAAATTCAGAATACAAAATTATATCAGAACTAAAACGTAGTAAATTATTTTTCGATATTGAATATCATAATATACAAGATGAAATTAATGAATGTATGGACATGGATAATTCAGTTGTTTTAAAAAAAATTAATTATACTGTAGGGATATTTCCTTTAAAAATATTTTTTGGCGTTCTTTTCAATTCTACCCCTTTTCTTCGCGACATTATTTTATATTACCAAAATTTGTTGACACACCAAAATAATGGCACCATAAAAAACTATGTTCAAAGTAATCACTGGAAAAAAATAATATCTAAATATCCAACATCGAAAGAAATATTTTATTTACCTTTGTTTATTTTCAGTGATGACTTTGAACCGAATAATGCTCTAGCTTCGCACGCTGGCATCCAAAAAATTTGTGGTGTGTATGTAAAATTCGCGTGTATGCCAGACCATATGGCTTCGAAATTACAAAATATTTTTACAGGAATGCTTCTCTTTAGTGAAGACAGGAAACAATTTGGAAATTCCCGTGTATTCACACCATTCATAAAATATCTGAACATCCTAGAGAGTGAGGGAATAATTTTAGATTCAGAAATAGAAGGATATAAGGTCGTAAAAATTGTTTCTGTTTTGGTTCTAGGCGATAATTTGGGGTTGAATACTGTTCTCGGATTTTCAGAAAGTTTTCAAAGCAATTTTTTTTGTAGATTTTGCAAAATGAAACGTTGCGATACGCAGACATCTTGTGAAGAAAAACCAAGTTTGTTGCGAAATGACATTAATTATGCTGATGATGTAGAGACATCAGACGCTAGACAGACAGGTATAAAAGAAACATGCGTTTGGAATAAATTAGAACATTTTAATGTACTTAACAACTTTGCCATTGATGTCATGCATGATTTGCTAGAGGGTGTTTGCCATTACGATTTGATATTCATTTTAAATTCATTTATTACAAAATATAAGTTTTTTACTTTAGAACAGTTAAATTATCGCATTTTGGTATTTAATTATGGTCCTAACTGTAAGAATAAGCCACCCATTTTAAATAGTGATGCTCTTCTGAAATTTAAGTTTAAAATGTCTGCATCTGAAATGAAAACATTTTCTTCTAATCTATCTTTAATAATAGGCGACTTAGTCCCAGATTGCGAAGAATGGCACTTGTATTTACTGCTAAGAGAAATTTTAAACATATGTTGTAACTCTGACGTTTTACAAATTAAGTCAAACGTAATACTAACAAACTCGATAACTGAGCACCACAGATTATATTTGAAACTCTCAAATTCAACATTGAAACCTAAATATCATAATTTGACTCACTATGGACGAATTATGGACGAAGTTGGTCCGCTAAAACACTTGTCATCAATTCGATTCGAAGCGTTCCACCAGCCTTTCAAAAACTGTGCAACTTCCACCAATTCTAGAGTTAATTTAATAAAAACATTATTCACAAAATATCAGCTTAACATCGCCAATACTATATTAAACTTTGAAGAGTTTTATACTAACAAAGTTGAAGGAGAGAGAGTTGTAGAATGCGACATAGAAAGTATTGTAAAGAAATTTCATTTACAAAATCCTATTTCAATTATAAACAATCTAACTATTAATGGCATTTACTATAAAAACAAAATGGTTGTACATATCGGATATAGTGAAGACCAGTTGCCGGAATTCGGCCTTATTTTGCATATTTGTAAAGAACCACAACCAATTTTTTGTCTGCAAAGAATATTGAATCATGGATTTGATTCCCATTTTTATGGATTTCGAGTAGAACTCGACGATTTTTTTTTCACACATCCAGTCGATTTATTGTACACAAATGACACATTTTATATATGTTCAAATTTTGAAAATAATTTATTTATAAATTGCCTTTAAAACATATGCTTATAATATGTATATGTTTTTTAATTTTATATTATATATTATAATATGTATGAATTTATTTTATGTTAAATAAAATGTGAATATCAAAAATTGATTTTAAAACTAGTTTGCATTATGGTTGAATTATATCTGCAGTAAGTATACAAATGGACCCAATCATAAATTTATGTTTGCACCCCAATATATATTATGTTTGGACCCAAACATAAATTATATCTAGGTCCAAACACAACTTATGTTTGGACCCAAACATAAGTTCGTTTCCAGTCAAACATACATTATGTTTGGATCTAAACATATATTATGTTTGGACCCAAACATAAATTATATTTAGATCCAAACACAACTTATGGTTGGACCGAAACATAAGTTTGTTTCCAGCCAAACATACATTATGTTTGGATCTAAACATAATTAATGTTTGGGTCCAAACATAAATTATGTTTGCACCCGAACATTAATTATGTTTGGACCCAAACATTAATTATGTTTGGACCCAAACATTAATTATGTTTGGACCCAAACATTAATTATGTTTGGACCCAAACATTAATTATGTTTGGACCCAAACATTAATTATGTTTGGACCCAAACATAATTTGTTTGCAGCACCCAAACATATGTTATGTTTGGGAATGTTTGCAAACATATATTTGTTTGCTGCAAAATATGTTTGGGACATATGTTAGAGAGGCTTATATTTTTTTGCGTGTGGGTGGGGTATCAGAAATGGTTCGCAGATATTTAGCATCTCCGAAACAGATGTTGTGTTAGCAAAAATGTTTGTATGTGTGAAATTTAAAGATAGTTGGATGCTTATTTCGCATCCTTAGAGGGTTTAGTTTTTCAAAATCTTGAACCCTATGTGGGAGAGGTACCAAAAGAAATGATCCGATCTCTACCATCTTTATAACATATCTTGTGTTGACGGAAATATTGAGATGGATGAAGTCTGAATGAAATCGGACTTTAATTTCGCATTTTATGAGCTTCAGGGATATTTAAAATTGTTTTACCCTTTTGTGGGGGAGCTACCAGAAAGAGTGGACCGATATATCCCATCTTCTTAGCACAATTCGTTTTAGTAGAAATAATGGGATGTGTGAAATATGAAGAGATTCGGACCCTTATTTCAGATTTTACAATCCTTTTTTGTTATTCAACATTTTGACCCTTTTTGGGGGAGGTACCAGAACGAATGGTCCAATCTCTACCATCTTCATATCGGATCTTGTGTTGATCGAAATATCGAGATATGCTAAGTCTGACTCTAGACTAGGATGTTAATTTGGCGTTTTATGAGCTTCATAAATATTCAAAATTTTGACCCTTTGTGGGGGAGTTACCAAAAGGAGTGGACCGATATATCCCCTATTCACCGTATATTATGCGTTAGTAGAAATAATGGGATATATGAAATATGAAGAAGAACTGGATTCTTATTTCGGATTTTATAATCGTTTTGTTCATTCAAAGCCATTTGTGGAGGAGGTACCAGAAGAAAATGTCCGATCTCTACCATCTTTATAACAGATCTCGTTTTGATAGAAATATTGAGATTTACCAAGTCTGAATGAAATCGGTCGTTAATTTCGCATTTTATGAGCTTCATGAATATTCAAAATTTTTTGACTCTTTGTGGGGGAGCTACCAGAAAGAGTGGACCGATATATCCCATCTTCTCAGTAGAATTTGTTTTATAATCCTTTTTTGTTATTAAAAATTTTGACCCTTTTTGGGGGTGGTACCAGAAGGAGTGGTCCGATCTCTACCATCTTCATATCGGATCTTGTGTTGATGGAAATATTGAAATATGCCAAGTCTGAATTCTAGAGTCGGATGTTAATTTCGCGTTTTATGGGCTTCATGGGAATTCAAAATTTTGACCCTTTGTGGGGAAGGTACCATAAGGAGTGGACCGATATATTCCATCTTCACACCAAACCTTGGGTTAATAAAAATATTGGCATGTGTGTAATTTGAAGACAATCGGACTCCTACATCACATTTTATAAGAGTTGTAATTATTCCAAATTTTGGCCCTTTGTGGGAGAGGTACTTGATGGAGGGGACCGATATTGTCCATTTTCGCACCTGACCTAGCACTAATGCAAATATTGGGATTTGCAAAGTTGGAGCAAAATCAGATTATCCTTTCTCTCTCTCTGTGCAGTAAAATATATTCTTAGAAAATTTAGGCGTTATGTGGGAGAGGTACAAGAAGGAGTTAACCGATATTGCCCATCTCCGAACTCGATCTAAGTTTGACAATAATATTACGATATACCAAGTTTGGATCAAATCGCATACTCCCTTCGAGAGTTATTGTACGCACCAGCCAGCCAGACGGACGGATGGACATCGCTAAATCGTCTTCAAATGTCCTGAAACAGATTTGGTCCAAAGAGACATAGGGTCTAAAATAGTAATTTCGACTAGGCACGTTTTGGCCGTATCAAATGATATATATCCTCTGCAGCCAAATGGCTGAGGGTATACAAAGGTTGAATACGATTTATATGTGGTACAAAAATAAAATCTGAAAACTGGAGATTTAGGTATTGGCTACTAAACTTTTATGGACTATATTCTTTGGATATACCGTAAAGATTCAAAAATCTCACCAAAATAAAATGCAGTAAATGAAACTGAAGAAATTTTTATCTCAAACAGTCAAATGTTTATAAAATAATACGAAAATGTTATAGAATCTGAAATCTAAAAATAGCTTATATTAGTTATAAGATTTAAGGTCATCCCATGGCCATGGACATACTTATGTGAATAGAACTTAGTTGGCTGTTTACTCTATGAACTATATATTCCTCGGAAGTAATTACAAAAAATCATCCAAAATTTTTATGGCTCCTCATCGAAAATTCCCAACTTATCCAAACGCTTCAGGGCATATTTAATGGTCTCCATGGTGCGAGGATTCGAACTAAACATCACCTTGACCTTTTTGCGGGCAAACTCCTTATCGGCCAATGCCTCCAGACTAATATCAGCCGAATCCTCTTTGCTCAAGGCGACCATGGGCAGGAAGGAGTACAACGAAAAGAAGCCATATAGTTCACGTGAAGTTATTTCATCCTGGATCTCCTTCAACGATGGAATTCTCTCATAATTCATTTCTCTCAAAGCCTCATGGAATGTCTCGTAATAGGTTTCGATGAGAAATTCCCGGCGATACTTAAGAACCGGCAGTTGGACACTGCTGTTCAAGAAGAAGTTTATATCACAGCCAGGACTGCCAAAGAAACTATTTTGGAAGTCGACCTAAAATGAAAATTAAAATTAGAACTTAAATTCAAAATTTAAAAAAAATATTTAAAGCTTACAAATACCGCATCCTCTGGTGTATTGCAATTATCCGCCTTATATTTATACATAAAATTATTAACCCACAAATCACCATGATTCAAAACTGTAATTTCCCCCGGCCTTGGCCGACCTGACTTTACCAAATTCTCGGTGATATTATCACAATAGTTGTGTAACTTTTTGCTGATTTCCTCGTAACCCTTCCACGTGGCCACCATATCGGCCAAGGTCCTTACATGAAGACTCATGTAATCGGTGAAACGTTCACTGCTCCTAACATAGGTCTCATCCAACATGCCAGCCTTGAAGTGTTCTTTCAGTGAAGGATTCTATGGCGAAAGGAGGGAAAATTATTTTTTTATTTTCAGAGTTGAGAGACAGTTTTACTTTTTCCAGCAAAACCATTGATGAGGCATGAAACTTAGCCAACTTCCTTAGAATAACAACACAGTGTTCCTCATCGAGTCCTTTTTGCCGACTAGCCAGTCTGTATCCGTATTGAGTGAGATCATCGAAGACAATGGTTTGCATCGGCTCGCCGGTTGTGTAAAAGCATCTGAAAACAGAGAAAAAAATGTAAAGTTTGATCTAAGATAGCAATTGTCGGTGATTTTCAAAATCAAACAGAACAATAATAGTCGACTTTTAAAGAGTATGTTTTCAAGGACATAAAGAGAAGAAATATATGATTTTTACAGAAAATTTTTTGGTGGACAAACAGGGAAATATCAGAAAATAATCATGGATTTTTGCAGAAGAACAATAGAACAATTATTTTTGAAGAACAATACAACAATTATTGTAAATTTTTAAAGGATATTTTTTTCAAGGACCAACAGGAAATATTCGTGAATTTTTGAAGAACATAACAATTTTTATAGAAAATTGTGGATTTTAAAAACAAAACGAATTAAAATTGAAAAAAATCGCATGCGATAAAAAATATGAAAAAAATAATAAAATGTCACAAAATCTATATGAACATAATTATTGATACCTTTTTTTGCGATTTTTTTAGATTTTATTCCTTTATGTCAAGAGGGCATTCTGAATTGACAAAATTTGCCAAAATCGGTTCAGCCATTCTTGAGATATAAGCATTCTAGCTAACATCCCCTTCCTTTGTATATACACATTGTATAGATTTCGGTATATATAACCGATATATTTACTATCGGCATCTACGTAACGTTCAGAATTGACCTGTTCGTCTATTTATGATTTCGCCGGGATTAAAAATATTCGCGGTTTAATGGAAATTTTGACTTTTATTTAACACAAATGTTGTGGCCTATTTAACCCATTAAATATTACCCGATGACCATCAAAATTGGAAGGCTTCTGCCCAGCCCTAAGCTCTAGCGCCATGCTAACATCCACGTCGATTGGTCTACAATTGCGACCTGTAGAGCAACTGCAAAATCAGGATTTTTTTCAGTTTTTGGTCCATTTCAATCCCTAAATATTATGCGATTATCTCCAAAAGAAATAGGGTTATATTCTGACCCTAGCCCCACCCCCCATTCTAAATTTCGGGCCATAATTGCGACCTGTAGAGTGATTACAAATTAACATGGACAGACGGACAGGCGGACGGACGGACATACATAGCTAGATCGACTCAGCTCGGCGAGATAGGAAGATCCATATATACTTTCCTATGTGGGAAAACAATATTTCGAGGTGTTACATAATTTTTGGCCCAATCAAACTTATAATACCCCCAACACATAGTGTTGTAGGGTATAAATATTGTTTTGACATTTTTAAAAAATATTTTTGAACTCAACTCCATATACCAACGGAGATCTTAAAATGAAATTTGAGGATTCCTGCCCTATCACTTCACCCAATGCAAAATTTGGTACCATTTAGTACTTTCCGTACAAATATAGGGCGAATTTCCAAACCACCGCCAAATCTCTACCACAAATGCCAACAGTGACCTTAATATCAAATTTCAGGATTTCCGCTCCTTACAGGGTGGTATGAACTGGTACTCCGCAGCAGAAAGAAAATTGACTCAAAAGAGCTAAAGAGTTGTTTCGCTTGGCCGAAAGTTGTGAACTGCGGAATTTGGTTTTCTCCGATGAGAAAAAAATCGTTGTCCTGCAGTTTATAAACAAACAAAATGATCGTGTTTACTTTTCAAAGAGGTCAGCTGAAAATGTGCACCTTCGGTTGGCCACCAGAACTCAAGCGCCGGGCATGGTGATGGCGTGGGCCGCCATAACAGCTGATGGTCGCTCTCCGCTCGTATTAATCGACCGTGACATCAGAATAAATGCCTAATATTATAGCGAAAATATTCTGGAGGGTGTATTAAAGCGTTGGGCACGCAAACATTTTGGCGCAGACCTTGGACATTCCAACAGGACTTAGCATGCGCCACCCAAGAATGTCTCCTCGCATCATTTCCGGCGCACAATGGCCACCGAAATCTCCGGATACCAATCCTTTGGACTATTGTGTCTGGAGTATTTTGGAAAGCAAGGTTGATACTAAAAAATACCAAAGTGTTGATCACCTCAAGCAAGCGCTTCCCCTGGAATGGACCAAAATACCGCACATCAACATTCGGACAGTCTTTTGTCTGCCGATATTTTGATGATTAAAGTCAAATTGTTCAACAGAATTGGCTGAATATCCACAAAAGGAGTTCCTTCTGAGTACTTTATCCCCTGGAAGAGAAAATTCTACATAGGTCCACAATATCGTATAGCCCACATTCAACGGTACCCCCCTACATTCGATATTTTGACGTTTTAGGCACATTATTCACCAGAGTTATTTCAAATTTCGTATTTAGAATTCTTAATGGGTACTACTGCCTATGACAAAAAATTAGCGTATGCACTCCCACGCTTTCGTATAGCCTCCATATAACAGTACAATATTCGGTATTATGATGACAACAATATTCGCTATTATGGTGTTTTTAGAGATATTATTCGCCGGAGTTGTTTCAAATTTCGTATTTAGATTTCTTAGTGGGAACTACAGTTTATGCAAAAAAATTGTCTATGCAGGTGTAGATCTTCGTATAGGTCCAATATATCAGCACCTCCCTATGTTCGGTATTTCGACGATTTTAGGTACAATATTTACCGATTTTTTTTTTTTAATTTTGCATTTGAAGTTCCTAATAGGTACTCCAGCCTGTGCGGGGTCCAGGTCTTCGTATAGACCCCATATATCAGTACCTCTCTATTTTGGCTACATTATTCACCGTATTTTTTCATGATTCGTATTTGAATATTGTAATGGCTTATGACCAAAGTTTTCCACGCAGGTCCACGTCTTCGTATAGATTCCAATATAACGCCTATTTTGAAGATTTTAACAGAATCTTTAACGGATTTTATTTTAATACTTTTTTTTTGAATATTTCCAGATTCGATTTAGCCATGTCCGTCTGTCTGTCTGTTATAATCACGCTATCTTTGGAACAAATTGAGGTAGAAGGCTACAATTTTGCACACATGTATATTTTTCCAGTAGGCAGGTTAAGTTCGTGAATGGGCCATGTAGGTCCAAGTTATCATATAGCCCCCATATAACGGAACCTCCCGATATTCGGTATTTTGATGATTTTAGCGATATTATTAACCGGAATTGTTGCCAATTTGGCATTTGAAGTTCGTAATGGATACTACCTAAGACAGAAAATTATCTGTACAGGTCCACGTCTTCGTATAGCCCCCATATAACGGTACCCCCGATATTCGGTATTTTGATGATTTTAACGACATTATTTACCGGGATTGTTTCAAATTTCGCATGTGAAGGTCGTAATGGATACTTCAGCCCATGCCAGAAAATTGTCTGTGCAGGTTCACGCCTTCGTATAGCCCCCATAAACGGTACCCCCTATATTCGGTATTTTTATGTTTTTAGCTACATTATAAACATATTTTTTTTAAGTTTCGCATTTAAATATTGTAATAACTTATGACAAAAGTTGCCTATGCAGGTCTACGTCGTCGTATAAGCATTCGGTATTTTTAAGATTTTAACAGAATTTTAAACGAATTTTATTTTTTTTTTTTGGAAATTGCCAAATTTGTACCAAATGGTGTTAAAAGTTCGGCCCGGCCGAACTTACAGCTTTTTTACATCCTGCCTCCCACTACTTTACAAGCTGACCATTGCAGTGATAAATTGTTAAATATTGTTTAGGTAACAATTTTTCCCCCTTCTACTCACTTGGCTCCAAACTTAGTGCCCTGCCCCATCAGCATTTCCAGTTTATCCAGCACTTCGAAATAGAATATCTTCTCCCTCAAATATACAGCCAAATCCTCCAGGAATTGTGTAGCCGGTGTTATGTCTATACTTTTGACAATCAGCGCCAGCTCCTCATCCAACTGACGTTTGCTGCAACGATACAATGCCTTGGCGCGATAGATTTTGCTGCAATAATTCTCGCCGCCGCCACTGGGCTCCCCAAATTCGATTTTCTTGATATCCACACAGCTATCGCGAAGACCCACCTCCAGGGCGGCCTTGAAGAAATCCTCGTTCAAATACGATGGCAAATTGTTGGAGTTTTCAAAGATCATGGTTCGATTTTTATTATTTTTTTAATTTGAAAGGGGGTAACTGCTAAAATTATATATTTTATCCTTGATTCCTTGGTTTTCCTCTTCTAATTTTTGTGATTTTAGTCCTGATAATATCCGTTTAAAATTACACTTTGTGATATTCCGCTGAATATTTTAACCGTTGTAGTTATAATTTTACTATAAAAGTTTCTAAGGAATGAAAATGCTTTTTATACCAACTATTAGTCTGTTTGTTGGTCTGAAGTATCTGTTAGATAGCAAATTGAAAGAAGCGACACAAGGTTTAGATTTTTTTACACCTGTTATCAGATCTAGTTTGTTCCATTAGTTCCTTTGTGAGCTGTGTTCTTTGTTTTCTCCCATTTGTTGAAAATGAGATATGCCTAGAGTGGGCCACATTGGCTAGACTCTTGACCACCGGAAAACTCAGTTATAATAAGTTAAGTGCCCGTTTTTCTGCTTCAAGATAATGTAATCGTTTTTTTTTTTTCATAAAAAGTGTTTTATTTATTGCCTTTATTGTTACGGTAAAGTCCTTAGCGATAAAATTGTTTGCACTTTGTTGCTGTCCAACATTTATTTGCCCAAACGTCTCAAGACATTTGCGACTCGACTAGACTATCCGGGTATTTTATTTTTATGTACATACAAGTTTATTCTAGAAGGAAATACACTTAAAAAAAATTATTCCGATTCTCTTGTATTCAAATCAAAATTTCCTAGGATCCAAAATAATTTAAGGTAAAATCTGTAAAGGTCTCAACATTGTTTTATATATTTTGTGATGGAACCTCAGAAGTATTGACAGATTTTCAGTTTGTACTCCAAATACCTTAATAAAAACTAGACCATCACTTGAAATAAACTAATTTTTAAAATCGAGTGGATTCTAGAGTTCGAATTCTCAGAACCTCTAGTACCATAATTGTTATTAACTGATTGCCGATTTTATTGTCTGTCGAACATAACAGACAATTTGTCTGAAGGTTTGTTTTGTCTAAAATAATGTGTGATAAGAAAATATTTATAATAATTTTATACCCTCCACCATACTATAGAGGATATATTAAGTTCGTCATTCCGTTTGTAACTCCTCGATATATTCGTAATAGACCATACAAAGTATTATATTCTGGATCAGCGTAAAATTCTAAGACGATCTAGCGATGCCCGTCTGTCTGTCAGTTGTAATCACACAATATTTCATAGTTTATCAGTAGGCAGGTTGAGTTCGTAAATGGGCCATGTCGGTCCACGTTTTCACACAGCCCCCCATATAATGGTATCTCCCGATATTCGGTATTTTCATTATTTTAGCGACATTATTTACCGGAATTATTTCAAATTTCATATTTAAAGTTCGGAATGGGTACTACAGTTCATGACAAACATGCAGGTCCACGTCTTCGTATTTTCATAATTTTTGCGACATTATTCACAGGTAACAAATTTCGTATTTAAATTTCGTAATGGGTTAACGTTTTCGTGACCCGTATAACGGTACCTACCGATATTCGAAATTTTAATGATTTTAGCGACATTATTCACTGGAACTGTTTCAAATTTCGCATTAAAAGTTAGTAAGGAGTACTATAGACTATGGCAAATAATTCTGTTAACACAGGTCCACGTCTTCGTATAGTTTCCATATAACGGTTTTCATTTAGGTGATAATTTTCAGATTTTTTTGAAATTTTTAAGTTCCTTCCAAATGGTGGAGGGTATTATAAGTTCGGCCCGGCCAAAATTAGCTTTTTTACATATTTTTTAACATTAAACCGCAAAGGGCACAGGTTACACATCATTATTTTTTTTTTTTTTAAATTTTCGAAATAATGTTTCTTAAAATCCCTACATTTTATAGCCCTCAGGCGAGCCAAAAAAATTGAATTTTTGGTTATTTTTCAAGAAAATTTTAAAAATCAATTTAAATTCCCTTATATGGTCTTTTGGCCTTTTTAAAAAGATTCAATATTTTGGGAGTTATGGCCATTTTTAAAAAAAGGCTATTTTTTTAAATTTTAAATAACTCCAATCAAAACAATGCTAGAAAGCCCGAAATGTCAATATTTGAGGAGCTATAGGCATTTAAAAATATGATATTTTTATACCCTCTGCCACATAGCTACAGAGGGTGTATATCATTTGAAACTCCCAAAGGGAGTGTCCGATTTGGTTCAAACTTGATACATCGTAATTATCAAACTTAGATCGAGATTGGTTCCCCCTTCCCCCCATAAAAGGTCAACATTTTCAAAGGAAATAATTTGCCTTAGAGAACGAGAATAATTTCACACATCCCATTATTTCTACTAAAACTAAATTTGGTGTGAAATTTTGTTTTAGTAAAAATAATGATGTGTGTGAAATTTTAAGAGTATTACATGCTCAGTTCGCGCCTTATGATCGTTTGGTTATTCAAAATTGTGATCCTTTGCAGGGGAGACACCAGACGAAGTGGGCCGATATCTACCATCTTTACAGCAGATCTTGTGTTACCGGAAATATTGGGATGTGTGTAATTTAAAGACAAAACCTTTGTGGGGGAGGCACATGATGGTGTGGTCCAATTTTGTCCATTTTCACACCCCAGCCTAGCACTTGCTAAAATATTAGGATTTGAAAAGTTTAAACAAAAAATCGGATGATCGACCGAGAATTTCCACTCGCGAACATATTTCACTTCCGAGTAAAGACAAGCAAATCTGCACTCCGATTTTGAAAGGTCAATCGCCGACACCAAAACGGATGCCACAGTCCTTTGTAGGGACTAGTCTCTTGGCGATGTTGGTGGCGTTTAGTATAGACAGATTCTAGATTCCCATTTGTGTTTTGAGAATTAGAAATAGAGAGCGAATGCAGCTCCAACTCTAAAATGAAAATGGAATTCTCGCTCTTATTCCAGTGAAACCGAAAAATTCAGTTTTGCTCGACTTCAAGCGAGTTTCCCTCCTTACTGGAATTCTAGCTAAATCTCTTTGGATGAAATGTATTTTAGGACATGTGGAGTCGATCTAGACATGCCTTTTATTCTATTCGCAGGATAACTATCGAAAAAAGTATCCAATCTTCTCCAAATATAGTACGAGATGAACAATATAGGTCCACTGCTTTTGGAGCTTATGTATCGGTCAATTTTTACAGGAACAACCCCCCCCCCCCAAAAAAAAAAAAAAAAAGTTAAATGCTATTTCAGATGAGCAGTATCGGCCCACTCCATCAAGTACTTCCCCCACAAAGTGTCAAAATGTGATTGTGTGTTTGATAAAATATAAAATAAGGGCCCGATTGTCTTCAAGTTTTGCACATTCCTATACTTTTATTAACACAAGACCTGTTATGAATGTAGAATATATCGGTACACTCCTTCTAGTACCTCGTTCGTATAAAGCGAAATAAGCATGCGATTTTTATTTTCAAACTAGGTACATCTCAATATTTCTATCAACACAAAAACAGACATGAAGATAGAATATATAGCTTCAAAATAAGCTGCCGATTCATTTTAAACCTCAAACAAGGTCTGATGTGAAAATGGTAGATATCGGTTCACTCTTTCTAGTACCTCCCCCACAAAGGGTCTAGATTGTGTATAATTATTAGTCTTATAAAATGTGAAGTAAGAATCCGATTGTCTTCAAATTTCCCACATGACAATATTTTTATTAATCCAAAATCTGGTGTGAAGTTGGAATCTATCGGTCCACTCCTTCTAATACCTCTCCCACAAAAGGTAGATATTTTCAAAAAATATATATTTTCTGCACTCTTTCTGTGCAGTCCTATTTCGCTCCAACTTTGCAAATCCTAATATTTTCATCAGTGCTATTTCAGGTGCGAAAAATTACAAAATCGGTGCACTACATGAAGTAGCTCCCCTACAAAGGTAAAATTTTTGCATAATTATGAGTCTTGTACAATGTGATATAAGTGTCCGATTGTCTGCAAATTACACACATCACAATATTTTTATTAATCCAAAATCAGGTGTGAAGTTGGAATCTATCGGTCCACTCCTTCTGGTATCTCCCCCCACAAAGGGTTAAAATTTTGAATATTCATGAATCTCATAAAACGCGAAATTTATATCCGATTCCATTCAGAGTTGGTACATCTTAATATTTCCATCAACACAAGGTCTGTTATAAAGATGGTAGAGATCGTACCATTTGTTCTGGTACCTCCCCTACATTACGGATTTTGAAAAACAAAACGCTCAATCTCTTCAATTTTCACACACACAGCACAAGATCTGTTGTGAAGACGATATATGTCTGCGAACTCCTTCTAGTACCTCACTCACAAAGGGTCAACACTTATATCCGCCATAACTTGCGAAACAAATCAGAGATTCTTTACAACTAAATATTTCTCTCAACCAGAAACCTGAGGGGAATAAGGAATTTTAGATTTCGCATAAAATTGGATATAAATGTTCGATTTTCTTGTAATTTTGCCCACACCAATATTTTTATCTGTATTAGATGGAGTATGAAAATGGAATACTTCGGTTGACTATATCTGATCTCATATAAAGTGAAGGAAATAGTCGGTATAGTCCAAACTTGGCACGTCGCAATATTTATATCATTTTTATTTAGGTCCAATACGAAATGGACAATATTGGCCCATTCCATCGGAACCTACGCCATAGAAGGTCAACAATTTGAATAATCATAACAGAAGTCAAAATATATTTAAATAATAGAACATTGACTGATACTTTTTTCGATAAAAACAAGTTAAAAAGTATCAGTCGGTATTGCCGCCAGAGATATACCCTCAGCCTATGTTCGATTATCTAAATATATTTTGACTAGTGTTAAGGTTATTCAAACGTTTGACCCTCTATGGAGCAGATCCCGAAGGAATGGGCCAATATTACCCATTTCCTATCGGACCCAAAATATGATATAAAAATTTCGTCAGATGTGCCAAGTCTAAATGGAATCGGAAGTTAATTTGGCGATTTATGAGCTTCATGGGTACTCAAAATTTCAATATTTTGTGGGGGAGGTACTTGATGGAGTGGACCGATATTGTCCATTTTCACACCTGTCCTAGCACTGACGCAAATATTAGGATTCGCAAAGTCGGAGCAAATTCGGATTAGCCTTTCTCTTTCTGTGCAAAAAATTTGTTTTTTTTTTTTAAATTTCGACCTTTTGTGGGGGAGG